CATCACAGTATGGTGAGGGGTGTAACATTTCCGTCTCACGCTTGAGGTATTCGGCCAATCACAACGGACTGGATAGCTGGCCAATCACAGCACACCTCGCTTTTTCAGAGTGATGAGCTTTGTAGCTTTGTTGAGCGTTTCAAAAAGGCGGGGCATAGAGGAGAAACAATAATGTACAGTATGTGGAAAATAATGTGGTTTTTTAACTTTAAACCGCATAAACACATTTTATTACACCAAATACACCAAATAATGTTCTTTTTAGCAACATCATATGACCCCTTTAAGTTAAAAACAGATCATATGGCACAAGGTGTGGTTGAGAAAGACAACTTTGGCTTTATCAACTCCTCGGCAATCCCTCTGAAATTCCCAAGAGTCATATCTCATCAGGGCCATGAACATTTATCTTACATTTAACACTTGACCTTCTGCACGGCCTTCATCATATTCACTTAACTATACTATTATAAATCGATCATACAATGTAACTCCTGCATATCACTATTTATGGTGTATTTACAGTATGGCATCTCTGCCAGAACATTTACATAATCAAAAAGAGCAAGATTACATTGACCAAAGAGCTGGTGACTAATGGGTTTCTCAGAAACTGAGCCAAGATATTATTTACATTTACTTTACAATTACATTTAGCAGACGCTTTTATCCAAAGCGACTTACAAATGAGGACAATAGAAGCAATCTGTTGTCATTTTTTATAATAAATAAAAAGAAAACAAGTATATAGAATAGAATTCTAATAAATACTAACATAATCAGAAGTGACTTTATGTTCTTAATGCCCATTCTTGGCCTTATTGTGCACAATTCATTGGGAAAAAGATTAATAGCAATCTTCCATCAACAAGCTCTGACCCAAAACAACTTTCCTATGCAGAGGATGTTACATAGGCTGCACAGGCTAATGAATGTGTTAGTTTCATGTGGTTCTGAAAGACTTTTACAACATTTTAAAAATGCCATGTGATGTAGCCATCAAGTAAAAGTACCAAACTTTCCTTTCATCATGAATACATGTGAGTGGACACGTCTTAGTCATTGTTATTACAATTATCATTATTAGGGGTTCAGCGCGTAGCGCAGTTTTTGCAGTAAAACTGATTGTGAAGACCAAACCGTAAGGCCTAGAGAATTGAAACTTGGTCAGATGGTAGAGCTCAATTTGGGAAGAGACTGGCAAAGACTAAACCTAATTGGCCAATAGGGGGTGCTACAGCGATCGAAAATGCAAAATCGGTCATAACTCCTAGACCAGGGGCTCTCAACCCTGGTCCTGGAGGGCCACTGTCCTGCAGAGTTTTGCTCCAACCTTGATCAAACTCACCTGCCTGTAGCTTACTAATAATCCTGAACAGCTTAATTAGCTGGTTCAGGTGTGTTTGATTAGGGTTGGAGCTAACATTTGCAGGACAGTGGCCCTCGAGGACCAGGGTTGAGAAAGCCTGTCCTAGACCATATCATTCATCATATCAAAGGAATCCTTGGCTCAAGGCTATCTCCAAGTCACATGACAAAAATCGTGGAGTTTGGCCACTAGGTGGCGCTATAAGAGTAAAAAACATAAAAATGGCTATAACTACTCTACCATTAGTCCAGTTGACTTGAAAATTGGCATACTCCGTCTTTGTCGAAATTGCCACAAGTGACAGTGAAGACATTTGCATATCTCAAAAAACATGGCCACCATCGGCCAATGAAGGAGCACCTATTAGACAAGGTTAACGGAGGCTGATTGGAACGAAAGTCAGTGGGCCCAGAATGTCTGTGAGAAATTTGAAAGAAATCAGCCACCAGGAGTCATTAACGAGTCTTATGTCTCTGTAATCACGTGGAATTTCACATTTACACACAATATTTATATCATATGATATAGCTCCTCATTCTGAACAACTTTGCCTCAAGAACCTTCATTCTGAACAACTTTGCCTCAAGAAACCCTACTGTCAATCAAATCGTTTGTTAAATATTTGAGATTATGTTAAAAACCTACTTTTGCGAACAAGTCCTAGGTTTTTTGCTTAACAAAAACCTCAACAAAACCACTGCACTCTCTAGGTCAATAATTATCAAAAAAAAAAGTTGAACTTTACACTTTGGTTAGCTATAACACGATCATTTTAAAAAGGGGCATGGCCAAATATACCCACACACCTATAAATCCTAAATGAAAACCCAAAACTTCATGAAAGTAGGTTAGCACAATCAAGAGATCATTATAAACAAGTACGCAATGTTTTATTGAAATCGAACCAAAGGTGGCGCAACAACAGCTAAAAAGGTTTCAAAAATACAATGGGCCTCATTTATCAATCTATCGTAGAAACGAGCGCAGATCCGAGTGCACAAATCAACTTACGACAGGGTTAACGTGTGATTCATGAGACATTTGTATGCCACCAATCCCATCTTATAAATGATCGTATGTTGATAAAAGTTAAAAACACCCCTGTTTAGAAGCCTTGCCCCTAGAGTTTACGACATGGAGAAACGTAACCCGGCAAAATAGAGGAAGTAATCTCATTAAAGAGAAATTGATCTTACTCCAAAAACACCTGTTAACCTTGCAACTGCAAACAAATGCATTAATTTGTATGTACTGTATAATAAATACCAGTAAATATAACGAAACATATACAAACATTATGAACACTATAGACCAGTGGTTCCCAACCCTGGTCCTGGAGGCACCCCAACACTGCACATTTTGCATGTCTCCTTTCTCTGACACACCA